GTATATATATCCCACAGGGTCATGGAGACGCGCAAGCCATCGCACCACGTCAAGGCGTAGTCTCGTGATGGGTGGGTGGCGGTGGCGCGGCTCCAACCTCGGACCATAGGGTCCAAAGCACGTCGGTGTTAAGGACCAAACCACTGCAACACGACGCCATCAACGAACAAATAACGGCAATCGACTTCAGTTTTTCACAAACGACCATTTGTTCCTTTCCAGTTTTCGACGGGCTGCAAAATGGTGCTCCAATTGGTCTGGTACGCTGGCTCATGGGTCTGTCTCACCACGAAATGGGAGATTCTTTGAGACCATCTCCATTGAGTCTGATTACGCATTGCTTTTGATGCTGTTCACACTCCAAAGCCAGCTAACTGGGTTTTCCNNNTTTCGCATATTCAAACCATCTGTTCGTGCTCATTATAGATCAGAACCAGGGCATGCGCTAAGGGCGCTGCAACGTGGTGGTGTAGATGGACAATGGGATGCGATTAGACGAGCAATGCATTCTGTAGAAAACTTTGCTTGTGAATTCAACGTGTCCTTTTTTCTTTTCATTTTACTTCCTTCTATTGCATATAAAAAGATATAGTTTTCAGGCAGAAGGAAGTGGCCAATCAAAGGGCTTCCATTTAACGGGCGGTGGTGCTGGGATTTGATCACCCATCCGCGGGGTGATAATTTGGTGACGTTGCCACCGCGCCGCCATCGCCTATCAGTGCTGCTTTACGGTGCAGAGACGTGGCCATTACGGGAACAGGATAAAAATAGATTATCGGTGTTCGAACACCACTGTCTACGTCGCATTGCACGAGCTTGGTGGGGAAACTGGACGAGCAATGCGATTTCAGGTGTGGACTTTTAGGTAATTGCGTTGTCTACTGGAGCATGAAGTCGACCTCCATAGATTACGCTGGTCGGGTAATGTGTTACGCATATCACCATATTGGTTGCCACGGCGAGCGATGCTTGGCGAGGCCGGTGGTGGTCGGAAAAAGATCAAGGTCAATCAAATGTGGACCTGGCATGAGGGTATTGAAACCCTAAACAGAGGACTGAGTCACATAGGTCACGTTAGGCTCCCTATTTGGGGACTCCGAGATGGTGGTCACTGATGGCTAGAGACACTGAGTGATATGGCTGTGTCTCGCAAACTGTGGCGCTCATGCATCTACGCATTATTTTAGTATCTTCAATCTATATAAATTCGCAATATTCTGTTTGAATTTGCTTTCAGCATTCTAATTTTCACTTTGCTGTTTTATCCAAATGCGCGACAAAAAACTGTTGCACGAAACTGCATGGTTCATGGTTGCGAGAACTGAACTGTCATGAATTGGTAGCCCTGGTGTAGAAAATCGACAAATTCCACTAGCATATGATCAACACAGCTATCGAGGTCGTCTGCAAAGTCAGCTGAAGGACAGTAAAATGTGGTAGACGAAACCGCTGGTGAACTATATTATGTAGGCTGTTTCATGTGATTATCAACATTTGTTTTGCGAAAAAATGAGTAAGCTATTCATAATAAAAAATGATGATTTGATCCCTCGGAGGAGCGTTACAACGAACGGCTCACTGGGTCTGACGCTAAGCAAATTATCTGTCTGTTAAAACACAAGCTCTGTACGGCAGTCATGCCATACTTCGATGGAGGTAGATTCACGTTCTTGTATTCATGTCTAGAGAAGGATCTCTTGGGCTTAATAACATTCTTTTCCAGATGGGGAAGCATAAATTGGTAAACGCCAGTAGTGACTCATTGCACAATATCCGGTTGGAGGAGCGCATTGCAAAAATCTCAGGGCAAATCACTGATCGTCCGGGTTTTCAATCCGAAATTACGTTACGACCGCGCGAACCCTCTCCGTTCGCCCCGCTTTCCGATCCGTAACATCCCTCCAGACCAATTGTTCGTCACTCACCAAAGATCGTTGCTAAATAACACTATATTAGTTATTCTGTGAAGCCTACCTGGTGGATTGGATAATCGTCTGTCGTCTGTCCGCGCACCTAATGAGAAGAAGTTGGGACGGGATCTAGGAGCACCGCGACATGGTAAAATAGACCAACAGCGGAATTAAATTAGATTCGCGATTCACTCAAGAGCAATTCTTGCTTGTGGGACCAAGCCAAAGTAATTGGTGAAATGGAGGCAGCTTCTGTAGTGACAGTGACAACCCTTTCCGTTCATGTACCTTTTCCATCTTCCGGACCTTGTTGTTTTACCAAACCAAGATTACCTCGTTGGTCACGGTACGTTGACTTTCACTTTCTGCACGCTTATCTGTACGCTTCTTTCTCAACTCTCCAGCTCATTACAATACAGCCGTCATTGAGGTTTCGTAATATCAGTCGTTCTAATATGTTTCGTTACCTCGACCGTTGTTAGACGTACGAATTTGTGGACATCATTAGCCCAGAGACTAAACTTCTGCATCGTGGAATGCGCATCAACAGAGGTCAACGCATATCGATCAATGAGACCGTTTGCTTTAAAAGTGTACAATATGGTGCAACGATTTGATCGCTGGGACGGTCTAAGCTCCCCATATTCACGTTTAGAGGCTAGTTGACGGCCATTCTCCTATCTGCGTCAAGCTTTTTCGACTGATCGGAACCACTGGTAACAAAAACGAATACCTCAGTGAAACCATATAAAACTCGCAGCGATTGTACGCACATTCTACCACGTCGGCTTAGGCGGAACACTTACGGCGA